GGAAAGTCACTTTAACTTTACAGTCAAATAAGGCACACACAACGAAATACGTTTCAGCTCTCGTCTTAGTCGGTCTGTCGAGCACTCTGTAAGACACAGCGCCCTGGGGAAAAGTCCCCAAGACTCTCACAAGGCTGAACCAAGACTCGCCCAAGACTGGACTGCGTCAAGGCTCGCCCCAAGACTCTCCAGGACTCGACTGCCCAAGGCTGCGTCTGTCGTGGAGTATTCGCCAAGACCAACTCAAACTCTCTTTATTCATTTTCAAAACTCTAACCAATTACAAAGCAGTAAAAAGACTCTAAGGCGTAAACTTCAATTATAAAGCCAATCACACTAAGTACTAAATACGTCATATCTTTTGATTAATCGTTCACTACATTAATAACTGTGGAATACCAACTGTCAGAATCGCGACGGATATCTCGTAATTAGTTCCAAATCACTGAGCCAAGTTCCGTCCAAAACTTCAAATAGACCTGAACGATGACAGACATAACACAGCAATTCGCTAATAATCAACTAATTAAGTCGACCAACAGATACACGAAAACAAATTCATGACAGACCAGTGACCATATTTTCTCATATCTCAACACAAAAAAAGCTTTCATGGCCCGAATAAAACCCGCTAAATAATTAAATCCACGTAAAAATGTGAAATAACAATGTACATCATTGTTTCTCTTATAGTCTTCTCGCTACAGGAATTATGGACTACGAATTATGCTAATCTTATGTGTTTGCATATCGGATAGACCCAATTGTGTTCACGCACACGAGAAAACAGTCGTTAGCACGGGCTAAAGAACGTCTAAACGTGTTAGAAATATACAAAAGTACAGTACCTAGGAAGGTATACATGCTAGCACAGTCACTCTCCTAGCAGAGTGACTGTAATGCTAGTTTCACGGTTATGAAACAATACCAAAGCATATTCAAAAAGTGAAGATTGCAGAAGTAGCACAGTGACTCATCGTCAGTTCATATTCCACCGAGAACTATATCTCTTGATATGGCATACCGAAATGAATAATTATGAATGATATAATAGTAAATCTTTAAAATTAACATTGAATACAATTGCGTGTTGGGCTCTTATCCCGAGCTCAGCTAAGGAGTTGTGCGTGAACGTTACTTCTGTTAGGTTCGTAAACTTAAAACCAAGTGAAATTGCTCAAAACATCAAAAGTGGTGAAAATAAACGCCAGTGAAAATAAATGGCTTTATTAGTAATCTTCATATAAAACTGAGAATTACATAAAATGCTGAATATTATACTAGTAGTGATTATCTAGTAAAATGTATTTTATTAACACTTTTGAAGTATGATGTCACAAATTCATTAAACCAACAATATATTGTCTTGTCTGGTAAGGCACGACCTTACTATTAAGACAAAACATGCACTAAACCACAAGAAAAGAGGGTTAGTTAATGAAATATGAAAACAAATGGATCTTGTTGATGCAAATGTCGCTGGGTATTGTTGTATACGACTGAATCAAATTGGGAAAGAGGAGTTGATCACTCTCCACGCGAAAAAATACTGGCTGTGGCAATGAGGAAAATAAACGGTGGGAAAACAATTTTGTATTTAATTTCCCCCTCCCCCTCCAAATAGTTCACTCCTCAAAAGGTTATAAAATACACATATCTCACGATAAAATGAATGCGGGCTGAGCTCCAATGCATTGTGAAGCTTACACTAGGAATTACATTACATTCGATCGAGTCTGGACAATTCGACAGATAATGTTGGTAATTAAAACCTCCCTGGTACTGTACCCCAACGTTTTCAAGAATAAGTGATGAAATTTCGAGATTACAAAAACAGCCCTACTCATCCTAAACCGACAAACATGATTAGGTGAGCCAAATGCATGCAAATCTACAACCATATGTTTGAAGCCGAAGGGGAACGTGAACTTCCTAAGCCGAAAAAGTTAAATAATCGTTGTATGATTCCCACCCGGGATTCCCAGTCCTGAAGTTGACGCAACTCCGCAACCTCCTGACTCAGTCACGGGACTCAGTACACATACACATACACACGAGGAATTTGTTATGACTAAGTTAGGCGGTCAAACAAGATTCGCGCATGAACCAATCACTATTCGCCACATTCGTACTTCCCCGTTTTACCGTAAAACCACGTTGACTTAGTTTCGCTAGGTAAACGTCAGCATTTGCTGTTCTTTGAATGATCTAACCGGTTTGGTGAGTACTGAGCTTTGAATCGTATATTTTTTAACAAAACTGTAAATATGTTTCAGTTATTTTCAGTGAAAATTCTGCAATGCAGATCGGACGTGTTTATTTGCTGGAGACCGCATGGCCACTTCACGTGTGATCAGCTGGTCGACCTTTCCCCAACGCCGGCATGTTGTACTGTCAGTGTTACCACTGGTAATACATTGCACATACAGACTGTATATTAAGACCGTTCTGTCTCTGAATCTAACAGATGCACACAGCATCGGCAGACAAAGAGCAGCGGTGTCTTTTGTTTCTCATCACCCGTAGGGGTAGACGTCTGCTTCTTTGTTTTCATCATCTGATCGATCTATCTAAATTGTGTGTAATAAATGTGAAAATTTAAAACAAGAATTAGTACACTTATTATATATAATGTGATTTTTACTAATTTATCCTGAGATTTTTAGCAAATTTTGAAAAAAAAGAGTTCTTTAACGACTGTACACACAAAAATTCTTATTGATAACGTAACTGTGTCAGATTTGGTAATAGTTTACAAAAATTGAATTTATTAATTTAATTTTTATGCATCAAAAACGTATGATCAGTACATCAGCTAAACAATAGTCTATATACAGTATTCACTCTATTAAAAGCACATCTACAATAGGAGCACATTTAAACCCAAAATAACATGTGTTGTATATACCGGTAAACTAACTCATTCAAATTACCGGGGTACATACTTTGACCTTAGTTAAGAAACTTCAGTGATGTACGCAAGTTTTTTCAATAGAGCAAATACATTTCATGTATCGTATACCACTAATAATTAGACTCCGAATGTGCAGTCGCAAAATTTGATCTCAGTCTGTGTACAATGCCTTGCAGCCATTAAAGGTACATAGAGGAGGCCAAATAGAGCGGTTGTACTGCGACCAACCCCAAGAAATATGTACTTTACATAATATACATTTCAAAATTATATGTCTTTTTTTGTTCTTGATCAACACTATTTTAAGTTCCTCCTGACAAGATCAAAGTTTGAAGCCCATAAAAATATAATTTATTTTAGACTGTATACATTTCCAAATTGTATGTCTTCTCCTTTCTGTACCAATATTCTGTGCATGCGAGTTTCCCCTCATAAGATATATACTATGATTTTGTGAAGCAAGTATTAAGATTTGAACTTGGGAGTTGAATAGACATCTAGTTTCAAGGGCAATGGGACATGTCATTTGAGGAGAGTGATCTCTCTACTCGTCTATCACTTTCGCGAATCCACATGAGTTAATTATCACTCAATTCAGAACATTTTTAATAGAATTTAATAGCATAGCTCTCCCATTCACTCGCATCAGTGTGTTCAATAAAGTCATTCTTAGCTCATCAGCCAATCTCAAAAGACACAGCCATAAATTTTATAAAATTACTTTAACAAAATATGATAAACATATAGAACATATCTGTATTTTTGGATCATGGAGGTAAATCCCTTAGGTTTTAAGATCAGTTTCTCAAGATCAAGTTTTTAGATACAAATATAAAACAAGTACTGTGGAATACTTTATTTTCGCTGGAATTAATTTTCGCTGAAAAGGCTTTTTGGGCGTTTTGCTTGGAATTTATTTTCACTGATTTTTCATGAGTTTAATGTTATAGGTTTATAGGGAAAAAAGTATATTCGCTGGATTTTATTTTCACGGAATCGTCCCTTCAGCGAAAATAGCGAAAATAAATTCCAAGTGAAAATAAAGTATTCTACAGTATGCCGAATTAAAAAAAATAATGCAGGACTTTTACTCCACCCATTTTCAAAGCCCAAATTTATAAAATGGCCTTAGCACATGGAAAAAACGGGGAATATCAAAGGGCACCAAGACAAAACTCATTGGGCATAGAGACAATTGTCTTTGATGTCTCTGTGTAGTTCAATATCTGAATAGTATGTTCCTGGTACTAATTTATAAATTTTGCATGTTGCCAAATTGGAAAGTGGCCACTAGAGAGTGCTCACTTCCTGTTTCAAGCAAATACAAAAATGTAAATAATAGAAAAAAATTAATGTATATAGTAAATTTTTATTTGTATTTGACTGAAAAAAACAAAAACTGTACTACAGTAAAATTAACATCCTCAACCACATTTATAATTTATTTTTAGCAGAAGTACAGATACTATTTAATAAAATAAACCACATAGTGATTGACCCACTTACAGTTGAATTGTTCAGTAAGTAAAGAACCAACTCTGTGTATGTATGGCTCATTAATAGGTATCCTTAATTTTAACTGGAATTTTACTTAATTACATCATACATTTTCTAATTACTATGTTAAGTCTCTATGCACAATTATGAGTGTTAATTATCATAATGAATATTCATTGAGCATTAATTAAATTGTCACCTGCTGAAAACTTTTATTGTTTGCCAAAATTAAAAATTCAATTAAAAAACTGTGTCAGCAGGCAGTGTGTTCAAGTGTGTGTTCAAATTTGGTACAAACAATGCATTTACATGTGTACGAGTTGCATGGGACCCATATCAAAAACAGTCTGGTACAATGAATGTAGCATTTTATTTAGTATGTACCGGTAGATATACTGTAAAATGACTAATTTTCACTGGGTTAGATTCACAGATTCACAGATTTACCATTTCATGCATATTCAGTGGGTTTAAATTTCCGATTTTAACATTTAGATAATGTGTTCCATGCTAAATTTTATATATTCACTGGGTTTTAATATAGCGCATTTTCCAGTCAGCGAAATAAGCAAAATTAAAATCCAGTGAATGATTTTACAGTACTATAATTATCAATGAAATCTTGAAAAAACAATTTAACATTTTATGATTTGTTTTATCATTTATTGTCATAACTAAGAAATTTATTCTGTAATGAGTCACGGTGACTTTTGTACAAACTTATTCTTAGTTTGCCTTTAAATGATAATTTAAACACTCAACAACTACAATGGTATCCCACAATGCAATAGTGTAATTCCAGGAATGGAGATTTCCTTCTTTGTTTTAATTTAGTATATGCTCTTCTTCGTAAGTTTGCAATTTTGAAATGAAGTCATTCTACAATATTTAAGTAGAGGTGAACCATCAACTTGACATTGACATTGTTCTGTGCATTATTAAATTATTTGTCCCTTGCAAATCTGTTATTTAATAAGTACATGTACCAGCTACATTTAACATGTTATTTTTTTTGACATCTTGAATTTACTTCTGTAGTTTGCGCCTGACAAAACTATCTGCTTTTGAGTTCTTCTTCAACAGGGATCGATCCAGAATTTTATTTCATCCAATTGTTTCTCTATAAAAAAAAAAGGAAAAACCAAGATAAATAAAACTTGAATCTTTTAGGGGTTTTGGGGAATTAAAACAACAATGAAAACCCTCTCTGAAACGTCCCCTCTTTGTGTGTGGAGACCTTTAATATGTACTTCATGTCATGTGACCTTGATCAAAATTATTCATTCTTTGCGGACGACCACTTGTTTGATTGGAAGCGCTATATGTACTAGTAACAGGTGTGTATAATCTGTAACAGTTACTGCACATCTGTTTTGTGTTAAATCAATTAAACACACTCCTGAAACGAATACAATTGTAATAATCATGATTATCTTTATTTTATTCAAATGTACAATTGTATTTTTTCTCTCCAATCAGTTTTTACTCCATAAATCAAAATTATAATTTCATGCTGTTTTCTCATTGAGAAGTTTCTGCAAAATTTTGCTGTCATTTTCACACATTTTTATCTAAGTTAGTTTCCTTGGATTTAATTAGAAATTTTCCTGTGCTCAGTTTGATTTGGAAGGAACATTATCACAGTTCCTCTATCATAGTTAAGCCATTCTGACATGCATGGCTCCCCATGCAAGCAACAGTAAAATTTAATAATGAAACTTTTACATTCAAATAGTGATATTAAAGTTGCTTCAATTTGATATTTAAAAGTTGGAACTTCTGTGGGTAAATTTTTAAAGTGATAGTTGACAAAAATCATACTAGCAAAAAAAGAAAATCTTGCAATTTTTTGCTATCCCTCAAAATTGTGTCTACCAATTGTCTTGTTCTATTGTCATGTCTCACCACTGTCACTGTATTTCCATTCATTCAAACAAACCATATCCAAAATCAAATTGAACAGTTCATTTGTGCCCACCATTACCTGCCATCCTTAACTTAAATTAGTTGTAGTCAGGATTTGTTACGTAAACACAAAAAAATCTGACATTCTGAATTTGCATTCCAAGAACTTGAAAAAGAGAACGTTTTAGGCCGGTCTAATGATGACATTTTGACTGTGTGAAGGCAAACTAAATTTTAATCTTGTTTATTCAACAAACAAAAAATCTGAGCCGGCCTTAATCAAGCTAAATATGAAACAAGCTATTTTGGTATGTTCATTTTCCCAAAGTCCTACTTTAATGTATACGGTATGTTTAGCGACCTACAAAAGGTAAAAAGCAATAATATTTGTTCGAATTATAAAATCTTGCTTAAAATAGATCTTTGTAATCATGGAAATTCATTCAGTGCATGGAGCAAATGTAAACCATGTGCAAGACGACTACTGTAAATGCATTAATTTTTCAGTGGGTTTTAATTTTTCTATTTTCGCTATTAAGTAAAATTTGCTCAATTAAATCCATGCGAACATGTAAAATAACAATAGAATTTATTGTTTCACTGGTAAATCACATGCTTTTCAAAAATAATAGGTAGGTAGGTACATGTAGGGAGATTTTTAATGACTGGGAAATTTGCAGAAAATGTCTGTCACAAAATTAGAGGGGTTTACAGTAGTTGCTGACAGGATTTATTGTACAACTAGAATTGAGATTCTATGATGCAGTAATTTTACTGATACGCTGTATCAAAATAGAACAGCAATATTGATTACTTTTGTAATCTCATTTTCACCAAATGTTGCCAAATTTAGATTTTGTTTCTCTAAATAAGTGTACATGTAAATAAACATATTGCTGTCACATTTAGTACTTTATGGCCTATTCTGTTGTCATGGATACATATGGGTTAAACTATAGCATTCTGAAGGGGGTAATATTTAACTTATTTTGTAGGGCCATAAGGCGTTCTCTGTCTGCTGCATGGTCTCTATCTGCTTGACACTTAGAGGGCGCTCTCCATGACCACCTCTTTCCTATAGGTCTCATGCCACTAATTAACCAATGGCTGCTCGTAGCCCTCAATTTAAATGCCCAGCAAGAACCAATGACATTTTTTAAATATTATTTTTCTCAGGTGCTCCCTGTTTGAGGGCGTAATCACCTGGGTCAGAGGTGAGACAAACATGTGGTCTTTTGTTTACTACTTAGCGGCTGTGTACCTGTGGGTTTATTCTGTGTGTTAATGGATGTTCTAATCTTGGTGTTTTTCCAGTGATTTCTCTTGGTGCAATCCAAATACAGTAGGTGTGTCTTGTTTACCTAAGATTTGCAAGAGTTTGAGCTGGCCAACATGTTAGTTTTTTTCATATGGTTGATTACTGGCATGTTGATTTCCCATTTTTGAGCCATATTTTCAACTTTCTTCGTCATTTTCATATAGCAATCTCGTCATATGTTAACATTGTCGTCTATGGAAATTCAATTAGTGGTATGAGCCCTATAGTGACCACTTCTTAGCAGTCCCGAGGCACTAACATATAAGTAACCTGTCTACAAAAACCATTTGTCCATCGTTTCAGTGATATTTTTAGAGGCAATATGGTAATAGAGACCAATATAGTAATTAGCATAAACAATTTTTTTAATTTTCTTATAAATTAAAAAACCTAGAATTTATTCATTTTGCAACAGACTGTACTTCAAGGCAGTATAAGGATATTCACCTAAAAAAGTTGGGGGTCACCAGCCTTATTTTCGAGATATTGATAGTTTTATTTTAGTGGAAAGTCGCAATTTTGGCACTATTATAAAACACTTTTACCACAGGTTCCTATGGCAGAGATATTATGCTATATCTCAAAATCTAGCCTGGTGACATAGGCTGAAAAAATCATATATTGTTAATGAAGGAGTACTTTTTGTTGTTCTGAATTATTTAAAAAAATCTGGGTTTTAAAAAGTGTCAAGAAATGCAATTTTTCTTTAACATTGTGTTCTATGGAATTGTTCGAAAAATATCAATTTTCAAGAAATATTAGGACGCGTTTCTCAAAAAGCATAACTGTAACACACAAAATAATGCTATTTCATTGTACCATGGGACATTAGCTTCATGATTGTACATAATAAACTAATGAACATTGTCATGCGATTTATGACCAATTTTGTCAAAAATTATGACTATGCTTCTACCTTAAATTAAAGTATTTTTGATGCAACAATACCATTTTATTATTTTCTGGACAAATATACAAGTAAGCAACCCATAAAATATAATTCAATCATTATATAGACTGCCTGTCTATGTAGACAATTTTAATGAAGTCCCTTGGGTGATTGTTATTCACAGGTATCCCTCTTTTTTATTATTGTGCTAAATTTGGAGTTTTTCATTAACAAGGTCTTGCATTGTATGACCTATATATTTAGAAAAGATGGAACAACATTATAACTATATAAAATGCTGATTATTTGAAAAAAAATGTAATATTCAAGTTACACATAATATTGTTCTTTCAGATGGAGAGTAATACAGTTATTATTTTCGTCATTTGAATAATAGAATTATTCACTGTACATATTACATGGAAAAGATGAAATATGCATTTTGGATAAAATAAGAGTTAATACATATAAACTTAAAATTCATCAGAGGCCAAAACTTTGCAAATAAACAAAAAAAATGCAATTACTGCAACCAATTAGAAGATGAACTGCATTTTTTTAAGAAATGTCAATTATGAATAGAAACAAAAAAAAAAGCTTTACTCAATCTATTTACAAAAAACTGAGAATCTTGAATTGTTAAAAAACAAAGACAAACTGTGTTTGCCGAAAATTATGTTAACTGAAACATAAGTTGTCTAAACTGAATAATGAACATCTTTCTTCATCTTCTGCATAGAATTATTTCTGGGGAATACTGCTATAAACTAAACACCTGTGTACCATACATTTGTATTGCTTGTTCATTTCAATTGGTGTCCCATGTCTGGTTTCATTCTGCTATTTAATTTGTTACTGCTCTTAGTTTTACAACTGACATACCCTGAATAATCAAGTGGAAAATGATGTGCATGCACAGCATGTTGGGAAAAAAGATAAATAACATAACACAAAAGAATGGTGTGATGTCTGATTGCATTGAACACCACTCTACATGTATGTGACGTGGTGAATCCAGACTCCATGTCTGAATATTTACAAGTCATGTTGATGAATCAAATTAACCTTTATAATATCTTGGTATTTACTTGTCAAAGTTTATAATCACAATTTGATTTCAAAATAAACAAAGAACATGCTGCAGTTGCCTTTCAACAAATGCTCAAAATAATCTTTACTGTAACATGTGGTGTATTTTTTTTAAATCAAGTCTATGAAATAATAGTATCATGAGATACAACATCTGTCACCAGTGCATTTCATTAACCTATAACCTTTGTCTCTATTGTTTTACAGCAAATAATACTGTAAAATACTTTATTTTAGCTGGAATTAATTATCTCTGAAAAGACATTTTGGGTGTTTTGTATGGAATTTATTTTCAACGATTTTGACAAGTTGAATGTAAGTTGAATATTCGCTTGATTTTATTTTCACTGAATCATTCTTTCAGCGAAAATTAATTCCAAGTAATTTGTAAATAATATAGATCTGGTAATAGTAAATATATTGTCGCTTTGGAAATAACTTAACATCAGGTGATAGCAAAAAGTTATTTGATCTAAACCACCTCTTTTGACCTAATACATCAAGTCGGTTAATAACCAATCCGAATGCTCTGATTTATTTATGTCGAATTGTGATTTTTTTTGTCATTGATAAAAATAGAAAAGCTTGGGCATGTTTCAATTTTTGATAGATAAACCATAGACCCTATTGTACATGTAGGGTCTATGAGTAAACTTTTCATTCTCTAGAAATTCAACTTTACATCACTATTGTGTAGTCCACTATCTTGACTCCCTAGCACTATCTTGACTCCTTAGCACAACAAACCCATAAATACATGTATACTCAAAAATATTTTATATGAATCCACCTGTTTAATTTGAAATTAGTCTCGTTCTAATTCAAACAAGACAATTGGATTTTGCTGCGTTTCTACGTAAGCACTGCTACATCAGTGAAACATCACAGCCAAATTTGTACACTAGTACATTTGGCTAGATGTTGTGTTAATTCTGTCGCTAACAGGCAAGAATAATTCAAACTATTCTGCAAAAATTTCCCGTATTTGAAACACTGTCATCATCCACAGAAATTATTTTGCTAATCCGTAATTCAAGATGTCGCTAATCTAAAATAAGATTTATTCTACTCAATGATTAGTTTAGTTAAATTAAGATTCTGTTAATTTTTGCATTTATTCAAACTAGCTAAAAATAGCATGTAGCTATTTCAACACGTTTTACAGTAGTTTGTAATGTACATGTTTTATTTTATTTCGATGTACTATTTTTAACTGATCAAGATCTTCAAACTTTTCACTCTGGGATGAAAAATTATTTCATGCTGAATTCATTTTTTTACCTTAATATTTGATCATTCATTATTTTAATAAATAATTGGAATACATTTCTTTTTGCTCAACAGCACTCATATATTTAAAAATGCGACATATTCCGAGGATTGTATTGGTCATTATGTCTATAGTCTGTGCGGTCAACCCTGTTGATGGTCTAGCTGTTATGTCCATAGACCTGGGAAGCGATTGCTATAAAATGGCGTTGGTCAAGGTAAGTATGCCCTCTCTGATGAAGAAGGCAGTATATCTATTAAAGAATATATTATCATGATTCTCTACGAAAGAAATGCCCACTCAACCTTACAACTGTCGAAGTCAACAAAGTCGAAATTTAAATTTCAAAATGGGGATTATTATTAAGTCAATTATCAATTCCTAAATTAAGTCCTAAACTGGTATGGTCACTGGTAGCGTAGCGGTTGTTGCTTCAGACTTGTGATCGGTAGACCCAATTTTAAATCCTACCTTAGGCTGAATAGCAAAACTGTTTGACCCCTACCCTGGGTGAGTGTGCCCCAGACTCAATGGGAAGGCCAATTCCACTGGCTGAGATTCATTCACTAACGAATGCAACTTTGGGAGAACCTTGGTTATTTCTTAAAATGAACACCACAATTTATTTCATCAATAATGCCCTCTACAATTTATTTTATCAATAGCGCTCTCTAGTGGCAAGCCTCTATAACATAACAGGGCAAAAACCATTCTCAACATCAATATTTTTATCTCATGTATGAGGAAGATTTTCTTTGTTATAATTGACCGATAACCAAAGAGTTGACTTTGATGACGTAACTTTTTATCTCTTATCCTGCCAGCCCCAAGTACATCCACATTGATTTGACCGGATAAGGGTTAAATTAATAAAATTTTCCACATTTACATTTTATGTGTATTATTTGTATTAATGTTCACATTATCATTTAATTCACAGCCTGGTGTTCCCATGGAAATTATATTAAACAAGTAAGTTGGTGATTTCTATATTTTTTTTATTCATAAAGCAATTTTAGTATGTAGACAAACTCAGTCAACATGGATGAAAAACACTGACATAAAATGTTGAAAAAATATCTAAATTGAAATTTTTTCCTTTTGTGTAGAGAGTCGCGGCGGAAAACAGCGGTTGTGGTATCTTTAAGAGATGATGAAAGAGTGTTTGGGGACGATGCTCTGGCCATTGTAAGTTGACAGTAATGTTATTTTTAATATCCCTTCGTTTATGTCTATTATTTTTTTGTTTTGTGTAGTTTTACATCTATATTTTTGTGTGAATGCCGTAAGCTGCTTAAGTTTAACAATTGTGAAATTTTGTTATTACGAATACCTTAAAATTGTGAAAATTCACATGGGTTTAACTACGAACATTTTGGACTGCATTATGGGTCAGGTCAATGTGAATCAAAATCAATATCTGCAAGGAATCTTTTGCAAAAAGATTGTATGTGAATTAGGTGCATGTCAGTTTGTATATACGAGTCTTTCAAAGATGGCTGATTGGCAGCCATTTTATCAGATGCTAAATCTTTTGAATGGCAAAGTCAAATTTTGGCACTTTTCACAAAATGAATCAACATAACTTTTTTCAATTTTTTTTTTCCCCAACATTTTGATCAGGACTAGTAATCATTGATAAATTATGTTCATTTGGTTCAAAATAAACAAAGATATTGAAGAAAAAATCATCATAGTTTGCAAAATGTTGCATCAATATTTTGGTTGGAAAAATTACATAATTCAAAAGGTTGTACTTGCGGGTCTGGCTCCAAGAGAAATAATAACAATACTGTTACTATCATTGTCACAACTTGAATAATTTTCATTACTTTTATCCAAAATTTGATTTAATTGATTACTAGTAGTGAGTAATGGCTTATTTTTGTTTTCTTAATAATTTTAATTACAGGGAGTGAGGTATCCTAAAACCACTTATGTTTATCTACAAGATTTACTTGCAAAAGGAATTGATAACCCTGTGGTACAACTATATAAAAAAAGGTTCCCATATCATGATATTAGGCAAGATCCAGAACGAGGTAAGTCTTCTTTTATAGCTGTTAGATTTCCTTACATGTTAGAACTGTAGTTGAGTTATGGGTCCATTCACACTCCAAACATAAATTATCAAAGTATCAAAACAATTACACTGGTGGTTTTCAAGAAGTCAATGGACAATATACGAACAGATAAATTATCAAAGTATCAAAACAATTACACTGGTGGTTTTCAAGAAGTCGATGGACATTATAT